CTCTCTTCATTACATGCGTCGTTTTGGTGTTGTTGCTTGTCCAATCTTTTCGTCGAAGCTTCCCTCTGTGGTGATGATATAACCTGATGCGGTAGCCTTCAGATTTTAACCTCCGTCGTATTACGGTCTGTTTTCGTCTAGTGACTTTCCGGTATGGGGCAGGGGTATCAGACAATCGTTCCACAGGCACATACATGGGTGTGTTGTAGGTACACTCTCCACCAGGTACGTCATCGTGGTTTCGATATCCCTTTTCCCATTGTTCTCCTATCATGTGCTCGTGTCTACTACGAATTCTTGATCTTCTTTCCTCGCAGGTTCTTCGGAGTTTATTGGTGTGTCGTCATGAATCTCCTCTTCGTTTCCGATATTCACATCGAGCCCTCCTCCTTGGTCTCGATGGTCCGTGATGGTTGGTCGTTCTCCTGTGCCGTCGGGCGGGTCACTGTGTACGACTATGGTTTCCTCTTCCCAGCATCCGTCGCTCTCATCGCGGGTTCTCTTACTGGTCTCAAAGGTTCGCGGTTGCGGCGTGTCTTCTGGTCTCCTTCTTCCTTCGAAACGTTCCTGGTCTTGCTCGCGGCTCGTTATGGACTTCTTCTCTTCTTTTTCTGGTTCGTCCTCCGCTTCGGTCCTGTGGCTGCTCTTCTCGTTGACTCCGGGCATCGTGGTTCTAGCATTCGTAACAAATGTTTCTTCCCATGGCTTCAGGCAATCGTGAGCAACCGATACTTCGTCACGGGTTAGCTCTCGATTTCTGATCGTTGCATTGATCCCTTGAACAGCTTCACCAACCCTTTCCACGTGGTTGACCTCTTGCGACTCGGGACAAATCTTCTCATCAAGACTCCCTTCAGCTCTATCGTCTGTCGATACGTTTTCCAGTCGGTTCCTCGCTTGCTTTAGATGATGTTTCTCCTCTAGGTCTTGCGCTAATCTCTTAACTTCTTTCGGTTCGCTCACCATCTCCCTCGCGTCATCGTCTCTCTTATTCGGTGCCTCGGCATTCTCGTCTTTTGGGGCTTCGTCACAGGTAGGTCTCCGATTTTCTTTCGTATGTTGAATACTGATATCCTTTTCCTTTTTTTTTGCGGTCCTCTCTAAGTTTTCCTTAGACGGCGTCGACGGTTCTTGTTGCGATTCCATGTCTGTATTTTATGGTCATCACGGATGGATATTTTGTGCTGCATGGAGTTTTGATGATGAAGATTTGGTTTTTACGGGTGGAGATAATGCGATGTGTTTCGGTGGAGGCCATCTGAAAATATTTGCCAATTTTTGACTTGTATTTTAATTATTACAATAAAAATATCTATTTATTTTTATACTTGCGGTAAACCATTAATGCCGTTATGTCGATTAATAATAATTATACAAAACAGACACAACACGGAAACCTTCCCCAACATTAAACCCAAATAAGGTCATTATATCAATGCCTGACATGAGTATGTCCACATCTTTGAATGCAAAAACAACCTTACCCATCGAATCTAATTGGAGAGTACATCAAAAAAGAACAAGAAACTGAAAAATTTACTGCAACAACATTTGTCCGACATAAGAATCTTCAATATTACATTTTCGATTTGGAATTTTGGACAGACAAAGAAAGCTTGAACGATTATGATCATTGTTGATAGATTTATTTTTTGGAGAAAGACATGATTTTTGTTATTGACATTTCTTTTAATTGGGCTTTTATTTTTAGGTAATAATTTTTGTTTATTTTAAGTATTTATTAAGGCAAAGAATGTACATGCATAGAATGTTTTGAATTTATTAATTTTATTTCTATTTACATTATTTATTATATGTTTAACCAATATAACATTTCATTACATAGAGTTCTATTCTTATTCTTTATAATATTGATGCTGATTTCATTTTCTTTGGTGTGTTATATGTTGGTATTCGAATCATATCATTTTCACTTTCGCTATCTATCTCATCTTCACTTTTGCTATCTATCTTATCTTTACTTTCATGATTTTCATACTCATCTATCTCACTTTCATTGTCTTGTTCTTGTTCATCAAATTGTGGATATCTTTTATAAATGGCATCAATTTCTTTCATTTTTCTGATTGTATTGATTAACTTATTCCTATATGATAATAAAACCTGAAGTCACAACATCACCTATTGCATCTTTTTTATATGGAATGGAAATGCTAAACATTTTTCTTAAGCAAAATAATGGATCAAATCTCCTATCAAGAATATATAACTCTAATAATGTTCCTAATAATAAATTATATATTAGTTGAAATTAATTATCTTTAATATTTCAA